GTGTTAACCCCTACTTTACGAGTAAGCGAACAGTCACTTAATTCATCGTGGGGACTCGGGTTCCAGTTACGCGCTGCTCAGTCGGTAGAAGCATTTGCAACCATAATGAAAACTACAGAATCCTTTCTATGATACAAAAAAATGAAAATATTTATTAAATAAAGGGGATTACAATGGGGAATTTAAACAGGGGAAACTTAACTAACTTAAAATTACTCACGTCAGATCTAATTGAAGATAAAATATTATTATTGTCCATTTATCAGCTGTCCAATATCAGTGTTCGATGATGTCCGAGCGAATAAAGCAAACCCGGCAAAACGCGACGGAAAAGCGAAGAAGTCCAAGACAGAGTTATAAAATAGTAGCGAATTGAAAAAGAGGGAATTGCCAAATAAAAAGATTCCATTTACCTCCATGCACTCATTCAGTTTAGAAATCAAATCGTCCATCAATATGATGAGGTAACACCATGAACCATCACCATGTCGAGCAGACATGGGCCTGGGTGTTCCTATATGCATAAATCTCCAAACTTGTAAAATTAAAATATGCTTACTACTGCTTACTAAACTTAACTTTCGACTGAGACAGAAACCTACCCGATCTCCATTGAGTCAGCTCGAGCAGAGCTGAACGGTGTAGACTCTGCCCCATCTAAGTTAGTTTATCATTAGGTTGGTATTAAGTACTCTGGCCACATGCCCAGAGCCAAGGCCCTCGGGCTGAGGTACCGCTCTTCTCTCAAGAAATAAATTAATGAGTTTATTGACTAAAATAAAAGGGCAAAGTAAATATATATCTGTAATGATAAATGATTCATTATAGATCACAATGAACATAATTAAAGAATAAGTGTATACATTATAACATAATGTAATCATATAGAGGACATGATAATGATTACAATAGTAACGATAGTAATATAATAATATGTAATAATAAAACTAGTAGCAATATATGGATGAGATAAAGTCTTAAATGAACAAGAATAAAATGGATATCGGTGTATATATATATATGCTGTATAGTCATTGTTATTTACATTAATGTTTATTTTTCAAATTTATATATCGTGCACTTATATATTCATGGAGGAATAAGCACCTCCAATTATCTAATGGCATTTATAAGGAATTTTATAATTTCCGATGGGAACATAGGCCTATAGTTTTTTCTGCAGATTAATTAGGTAAAACTACGACGTATACAGTATAGAATAATACATTAGTAATCAATAATTTCTGCCTTAATCCTATGACTCAGAAATACTGTACCACGATGGTGCCTGATGGGGAATAGTTGATTACTTAAGTTAAAAAATTATAAATTGTACAATATTCACTTTCATAAATAGGATCGGGCCGTGGAGAATGTTCTGCGGGGGATGGTTTTAGTATGGATTACTTCAGTAAAAGAGTACCGTAACAATTGCTAATTTATGCACGTCAAAAAACCCCAACTATACTCACAAGCCGGGCACCCTCAGAACCTAGTTACGCCATTGGTTTTTAATTACTGTTTTGCGTAAGCTTTCTTGCTAGTTGTGCATTTATTTCAAATTTAAGTCAGAAAATAAAACAAAACAAAATTGTTAAACAAATTATCAGATCAAATGTGTATTTAATATAAGGTAGTTTTAACTTAAGAAAACAATTCCTCATAAAAAAAAAAAAGTCTTATAATAATATAATATAAAGGAAGTAGAGTTGTTTTAGTCATGAGAGAAGAAAATTCTGTTGTTACAGGAACTGAACCCAAGACTCTAGAATTCGAAAGCAAGCACCTTAACCACAAAGTTATTCAACGCTACTCCTGTCTCTTATACACATCTAGATGTGTATAAGAGACAGATATATATATATAGCATTACCGTAAGACGTTTTAGAGTTTCTATTATATCATGATTAGGGACAATGCAGGTGGTTTTCATGTTGCACAACATTTCAATTTGCCCAACCATTCTATTGATGACATTAAGAATAGCTACAAGTTTTAAATCAGTAACTAATAGACGTTGTGCTAAACTACAGTACCGGTAGATCTTAAAATTAAACACTCATAAATTTAGTATCAATAAATATCTTGGCTTCAAATAAGCTATAACATTTATTCATAATACTATGCATATTACTTTTGATCGTTACTCTATGCCGATACTTTGTTATTAACTTTACGGTGTATGTTATTTTAGGTCGACTTTTTGTTTTGATATCCCATCCTACTGTTATTGGTTCATGTATTCATATCTGCTTAATTATGTGCATACGTGCTGTCTCTTATACACATCTAGATGTGTATAAGAGACAGGAATAATACATTAGTAATCAATAATTTCTGCCTTAATCCTATGACTCAGAAATACTGTACCACGATGGTGCCTGAGGGGAATAGTTGATTACTTAAGTTAAAAAATTATAAATTGTACAATATTCACTTTCATAAATATGATCGGGCCGTGGAGAATGTTCTGCGGGGGATGGTTTTAGTATGGATTACTTCAGTAAAAGAGTACCGTAACAATTGCTAATTTATGCACGTCAAAAAACCCCAACTATACTCACAAGCCGGGAACCCTCAGAACCTAGTTACGCCATTGGTTTTTAATTACTGTTTTGCGTAAGCTTTCTTGCTAGTTGTGCATTTATTTCAAATTTGAGTCAGAAAATAAAACAAAACAAAATTGTTAAACAAATTATCAGATCAAATGTGTATTTAATATAAGGTAGTTTTAACTTAAGAAAACAATTCCTAATAAAAAAAAATAAGTCTTATAATAATATAATATAAAGGAAGTAGAGTTGTTTTAGTCATGAGAGAAGAAAATTCTGTTGTTACAGGAACTGAACCCAAGACTCTAGAATTCGAAAGCAAGCACCTTAACCACAAAGTTATTCAACGCTACTCCAAGGACACTACATCTAATTTTATCCAGCTCGATTGTGAGTACAGAATCCTACCGTAAATGCTCGAAAAACCGTCGCTCTCGAATAAGCGCCGAACCAAGCATGATTTTGTTTTTTTGCTAAGCGCCGCGGCGCTTAATTGAGAGTTTATTGCCTTTTGTGTATCTTTATAAACGTTTATTTACGATGACGTAGGACCTATATGATAGGCCTACTGAACTACGGGAATACCTGAGATAGGTAAGATGGGAACGGGCATGGAAAAAGCCGCGCCACGCCAATATCTTTTTTTAAGCGCCGCTCTCGAATAAGCGCCGCACTGAAGCCTCAATAAATGTTATAAAAGCGCCGCGGTGCTTTTTCGAGCATTTACGGTACGGGCTATGTGCACTGTCTGTTCACATATGGGCTGTACGTCGTTTATTTATAAATAATGCCAATCAAATATTGATCTAAATCTCTGTCCATACTATCAAATTTTCTGTGACAAAAAAACTGTTGCATGCCCCTGTATAGTCATGATGTGCCCATATATGATTATGATGTGATGTCATCATGACCATATTTAGGCATGCCATATGTTTTTGTAAAATTTAATAGTCTGGACAGGGATTTAGAAGGAGAAGAAAAAAAGAAAGAGAAAAGGAAGAAAGCAAAAGAAAGGCCTTAGAAATAGGCATAGGAGCTACTACAAAAGGCGTAGACCTAAATCTAGCCCATACCTTCAAGAAGTCTTTCTGAATAGGCCAGTTAAAGTTTTGCTATCTACTCCTAGTTTTGAGAACCTAAGGTAGATCAGACTCCTTGCTAGATTTATTACAGCTACTACACTACTACCTAAAAGCCTAGTACAGCAATGGAATTAGTATTAATATTATTAGTAGATTTGTGTTCAGTTCATACGTAGGGACAATGCAGGTGGTTTTCATGTTGCACAACATTTCAATTTGCCCAACCATTCTATTGATGACATTAAGAATAGCTACAAGTTTTAAATCAGTAACTAATAGACGTTGTGCTAAACTACAGTACCGGTAGATCTTAAAATTAAACACTCATAAATTTAGTATCAATAAATATCTTGGCTTCAAATAAGCTATAAAATTTATTCATAATACTATGCATATTACTTATGATCGTTACTCTATGCCGATACTTTGTTATTAACTTTACGGTGTATGTTATTTTAGGTCGACTTTTTGTTTTGATATCCCATCCTACTGTTATTGGTTCATGTATTCATATCTGCTTAATTATGTGCATACGTGTTTGGATTCTATACTAAGTTACTAGCATTTGTCAGATCTGTTTGTATTTCTCAATCATACAACTAGCGCTGAGCAAGGGCACGGGTGTGTCCGAAATAATATTCGTCTGATATACGTTATGTCAATAATGTCAGCGTATGCTCTTGTTTACGTTTGTATAGCTTGAAAATAAAAAGTTCGTTCCACTGTGTCTGAGTTCTGAGTTCTGGGTTCTTTATAGTGCACACGAGCCATTGTGTACACTGGGCCTACGGTTTATAGTCCTTATCCAAGAAGACTTGTTCTACCACCACCATAGACGAGGTTTATAAAGCGAAAAGTGTTAACAAGTATATCAAAATCTCCTTCTGGTAAACTGATGATATAAATCATGGGCTTATTGCATTTCATACACTTCATATCAGATTATTGGAGACAGTTAAAATATTGTGTGTTGGTATTTCCATTGACATGCAAACAATTATATAATTACATCATATGATATATCATCTCGATCTTGAAGATGAAATTTGTAATGTAGAAGATCTTTCAATTTTTTTTATTTGAAAACATAAGTAGTTCATTAGAAATGGTCAGGGGTACAGATATCCAGAAATGTTAATGTGTCAAATTTTCCTGCTTATCTGGTGTCGGATGGTAGATCTACGTCAACCATGGCGTTTGATGATTGGTATCGTATATCACTACATTTTTCATTCTATAATTTATATAGGCCTAAATATGTATTTACAATTTCTGCTAAATATCAAAATAAACTTACAAATGTGTGTGTCATTTTCTGTTAACGCAAACTCCTTTAAATAAGAATACAAGTCACTTGCTTACGAGATATTAGGCGTAGTTCAGACAGGTATGGGCATCCGTTGATTTATAATCTGATGCAGTAAGTCTCCAATTGATGATTTATTGCTCATAAAAGTTAATTTTTTTCAGAATATCTTGCACTTGGAATTAATACCTGGTGAAATTTGTATATAAAAAGTACTGTAAAACATAATTGTATATGTGTGTGTTTATGAGTTGAAAACGTAAAGTGAACTATTTCGTGGCAATAGTGGACACGGTTCCTGATGGAATAGCTTCTTCTAATGTAGATAATTGCTTAAGACATGGCAGGGTCTTTCTTACACCTACTCTGAAATCGTTATATTTGAACGTGTATATTATGGGATTGATACAGATGTTAACTAGAGACATTGCTACTGTAATGTAGTAAACTGGTCCGTTGAAATCGAACTCACCACCCAATGTAAAGTTGATAAATGCTATTTGGTTTGGAGTCCAGCAAATAACATACGTCACACTAACTATCAGCATTGTTTTAACGATATTCAGTCGTCTGGCCGCACTGTTCGCACTCACTGCAGATGAATCATTGCCAACTCGTTGTCGGAGGGCGCGAAAAATGTTGAAGTAAACAAACACCATTACACTGATAGGAATCACAAGTATGTAAACCCCATTTAATAAACCAAACGCTTTCTGATACTCAACACTTGGCCAACTTTGGATACAGACTCCGTCTTTTACAGTGTGTGCCGCCAACCAGAGTAGGATGAATCCAAAACCACACATCCAGGGAATCAGCAAAAACAATACTTTCATCCTCACCTTTTCCTTCAGCATATTGTATTTTAATGGATGCATTACTGCGAAGTAACGATCAACTGTAAGTACCACAAGATTAGCCGTTGATGTAAATGTACTTGACCAGAATATGTACTTGCTTGACCAGAACTTGCATACAAATTCTGCTGCAGCTTTTGATTCTGGGAGGTGAGTCATTATGTTCGGATCGAGAAAAAGACAGAGCGACATCAAAGATGTAACAAAATCAATGATACACTGATTTGTGATCAGAAGATTTGTAGTACTGAACCGATTCTGCAACTGAAATAAAATGAATATCGCGAAGCCATTTGTCGAACAACCAATAGTACCGACAATACTATAGATTAGTATAGTTGTGTCCATCTTACTAAATCGGACATTCATCAAATTCTATTAGTTGAAATAAAACACCTCCTTTTAGTATACTAAAAGCACAACTTCGACAGAAGAGTGGACCTATGAGGCATGCAGACCTGCCTTGTTATATATACATGTTGATGGTTGTGTACAATCCAATCAAAATTTTCTCAGGAAATTAAAAAGGCATTCGTCCAATAAGAGCAGGTCATATCCCTTCTCTCCGTATAAAGCCTGCAAATAATTATGTTAGCATTATGTAACGTTATTAACTATGTCGTTTCTCAATCTTTCTTTTTAGTAGACATTGTATATATCTTTAATTGGTAATTTAGATTAAGGTAATTGTATACCGGTACCTTATTCACAGTAAATGCACTTCATTATCACTATTATTATACTTCTGGCATGTTGTATTTCGTTTTTGTATCCATATTCCCCAAAGCACATCCTGTTGGTCGATCTTTTTCTTTTGCAGCACTTTAAGATTCACTCCATTAAAACTGTTCTTTTGTTGCTTCATTTTTCCATCACATGCACAGCGCCTTTGCTAATGCACATTGGTCGTTTAATTGACGCACTATAAATTTATTATTAGGCCTATTATTATTATTATGAATTAATGGAACGGCGTTGATGTGTAATCAGTGCACCGCACTACTGAATTCAGCAAGGGTTGTTACTTAATCATAAATAACACTTCGAGTTTATTCATTTAACGTATTTGTCAATTGAGACCATTTTCCAAGGGTCAGTTTTTTGGAGCCAATTTCCAGGAAATCCATGTTGCCTATATTCTAAAATATTTCACTCCATGTTCGTCATGCATTGTTATTAATTGTAAAACTGGTCAGGCATTGCGCCGTACAACGGTTATCCGACAGTTGGTCGACGAATCCAACTCCTCTCCGTGTGAGCGCTATACGACGCGACGCCGTCTGCTGATTGTCGGTGGCAGTCTGAACGGATCGTCATTAAAAACTATCCGTTGCGCACGCGTCGTGGTGTTGTGTTCTCCATAGAATCGCGTCGGCCGACTACCGTCATACGCAGTGAGTGCCCGGCTTAAGAGAACGTAGCTTATTAATATCCAGGAAATTAAAAATTCTTAAATGTGGTAATTAACCAGAAGATTTTACGCGTGGTATAACCAAAATGTAATTTATAAAGTTTATAAAGTTTATAATAATAATGTATTTCGATTGTAATGTTATTCTCACCAGCATCGAATCGGTGTCTTTATAACAGAGGGACCAGATGATGCAATGTATAATCTGCTTGACACCACACACAGTTAATATTTTCACAACTGGTAGCATTTAATCATTCTACATTTTACAATAATTGTGTTAAATTTATAATCTACTCATTCAAATATGAATCTATTAGAATAAGGTTAGTGCATATCAACCTATCACAGAACTGCCGGCGCGGCTTAGAATAGGCTGTATTTTTAGAATGTTATTATTTAAACTTGTTCTTGATCTTAGTAAAATAACCGAGTACTGCAAGCATAGAATAATCACTTATTTTTGTATTCTCTGTATTCCCTAATCATATTTTAAAGCTACGTGTTTACTGCACCTTTGCCTATTCTTTTATATAACATACATAAACATTGACTTTCATCATCACCAAGATGTACCAGTGGCGTAACTAGGTTGTGAGACGCCCCGGTTCAAAAGTACAGTCGGGGCCCTTTCGCGCATGAAATTAACTACAGTATGTCAACTAAGATGTGTACCGCCGATGGATTGGTTTTTTTGAGTAGTGGTCCTAACGATTTTTATAATATATTGACAATAAATCTTTGAATTTTTTTTATTTTTTATTTTTATTATGTTCTCAGAGGGCATCTATGAAGAGCCGGCTATTGGTTGGACTGACCATAATAATAGCATTTCTACTTTTTGTGACCAAAACAAAATGCGCATTGGCGATATTTTATTGAATTGATGTTTTTTTTTTATCAGATTACCCAATGAACAATGTCAACAACTATCTTGTATATTAGTTTTATTTACTTAAGCTAAATAAAATGAAATGGATCACACCTGATTTCATAGATTATGTATGACTGTGATCAACACTTATCAGATAAACATCATTTAATAATCGTGGCAAAGGCATGCCACGCCAGTCACTTCTCTCAAAAAATATTTTGTTATTAATACATGGTTAAACAGTAAGTAATGAGAGCTGTAAAATGGTAAAAGAATCTTTAAAATCTGACATTTCGTTATGAAGTTACAGGAGTTTAGACATACAAATGTTTAAAGAACAAGAAATCATCCTTCAAAGTTTATGATTTTGGGCATTTGTCATGCATAAACCATCACCAAATCCTTAAAAAGTGTTGTTTTAACTTTGAAAATGAGAAAATAACATCATAGCATTATGTATAGATATATAAAGGTTAGTTTAATGCAATAAAATAGATTTCAAAAATATTGACATTCCATCATATTTTGGCCACTATCTCTGAAACAGGGTTTTCGACGAGTGCCTGTTTTGGCTTGTCTTTGCCACTTCGTTCACTTAGAAACAAATGCTGATATTCTTTATCAGTTGCAAACAAATATATTATCCCAAACGTTTGTAGGATGAAAAGAATAAACAAAAGTTCAAACAATATTCATCCAAATCTTGAATGTGAAAATTTTAGCAATTATTTTAGTAATATATAGGAACAGAGACATTTCAAACGCAATTAAAGAAGACACAACAGAACGGAAAACTCAAAATTGTATTTACACACTTGTTTTACGACACTTGAAACTGGCGATATTGAAAAAATAAATCTGGCATGCTTATCTAAAAATAGTAACCTTGATGTTCATAATTTCGATATTAGGCTATAAACTTAGACTTGCATCACGCTATATCGCGAAATCTGTATGTTCCATTATAAATAAATCATTAATTAATGGTATGGTTCTAAACGATTGGAAAGTTTCAATGCCACCTCCATATACAAATGTAAACAATTATGGACCAATCAAATTGTTGGAAAGGTATTCCAAGATCAAATTATTACATATCTCAATGAAAATGACTTTATAATGTACCAATATGCTTTTAGGAAGTACCACTGTTATATGTCTTCATCGTGTAGCTATACGTGAGTTCATACTTTGTTTAGCATATTAGTTTATTACTCAACGATACGATTTTCGTGTAAAGTGGTGAAAAGGGCCGGTGTAGCACGAATTTTAGTTCCGTGCTAATTTTAGTATTTCGTGGTCTGAATTATCAGAGCCTATGGGACACACATTTGCAACACTTTCTTCGGGAGTAAACAATTATTAAATAAGTCTATGTATTCATTACAAAAATTTTAAAAAATAAAGTTTACACAATCAAGCATGTACCTTATGTTCAACTTAACTTCATAGATTAATTATCTACCATAAACAATCAGTAAAAAATATGTAAAAGCTAATTTACGTTGAAAAAATCAGAAGTCATTTACATCGAGAAACAGGGAGCATGATGGAAATGTTAGATGAAACTTAATTTCCTTTACAGCGACAGTAATTAGGCTAACAATAATACGGCGGGAATAGGTTGGGTGAATAATAATAAGGCCGGAATTGATTGGTGTTTATATTACGTCCGCATAAGCAGTATAAGTTAAAAGTGTATTGACATTTACTGGAAGTTCGGTGGTCGAGTTATTCGAAGTTCTGCGCTCAACTGTTAGTTCGCCTACGTGTTCTGTAAAGTTGTTCACTGGTTTTACCTTGAATTTGCGTGTAGTGTATGTGTAAACATACAGCTTCCTTTTTTTATATATATATTTTGTCTCAATAGAAATAAGGAGTAGGAGCGCATGTCCGTACGACTGTTGTCATGACTATTTCTTTTTTCTTTTTTTCCTTTTTTTTTTGGACCATTATTTACTTACTTATTTATTGAACATATTTACAGTACAGGGGTGTTTTGTTTTTTTTAATTACACTTGTAGGCCTTGGAACAATTAAATAAGAAATTAATAGGTCTACCTGGAAAATATATAGCATAGCGCTGTTGAGATTTTGTTTTGGAGGCGTCAGTGTGAAATGTCTTCCTCAAGATTCATTATTATACGGTTCTTCCTAGTATTGTATAGCAAAAGCATTATATAAATGTAAGGGTTTCTAGCTACTTTTGCTTTTTGGCATTTAAATTGATGAAAATAAAATACGGTGTTACATTTGAACATTTAATTGATTGGTTGATATTACCATGGAGGAAAGAAAATATTATTTTCTTTCCTCCATGGGACAATTAAAAAACTAGGCTAATCTATTGAATTTGATAAGGCATATGATAAAGAAATCAATCAAGCTTAATGAAAAAATTAAAAATTTAAAGCTTCTTTGTTAATATTCCTATCAATTTCACAATTTATATATTGGATTGGCGAGCATTATGAACTAAAACTCGTGGCCTTATTCAGAACAGAGGCACAATTATATGGAAAATATATGTGGTACATAATACATCACATTACTGGCCCGTTCCTGATTCTTTACTTTTTCCACTCAAGTGTTTGCCTGTTTGAAATCTGGACATTATTTGGTTCAATGTATTAATTTATATAAAATGAGGTGAAGCAAGATAAAAATTAATGTTTATTGTAATATTCTTTAAACTTAGGTCTATTGTACATTTAGGCTGTAATGAACCCATGTGGAATGATTTAAACTAATTGCATTATGCGTGCATGTACATTTTACAGTATAAACTAATTAGTATTTGATTTTAGGAGAACAGTTTGTAATCAGCATATTACTAGGCCTATTATACAGTAGAATCCTTACTAATGGGACACATTGGGGACCAACAATGTGCCCCCTTAATAGGAGTGTTTCCTGAACAGGGATAGGCCAAAATGTTAAAATATTTACGTCAATCCAGTGGCACTTTTCAACAGTATACGGTACTACACAACATTATATTCTGTTGAGATTGCAAAACATGAGGCACCACAGAAAAATTAGCCTTGTTTTGCACTAAACGTATTTCCTCGCCCAGGGTTCAGTTGGTAGAACCAAGTATTCTTGGATAAGAACTTAAAATGGAGGTCCAGTGTTAGT